CACTCAAGTGTGATAACCAAGCTACAATTACATAGCCAAAAACCCGGTTTTTCACGAACGTACCAAACATATTGAGCTAGACTATCACTTTGTACGTGAAAAATTATAAGGAGGATTGATTAGACTCTCTCATGTTTCAAGTTATGACCAATTAACATACATTTTTACTAAATCTCTCCCTTCTACAAGACATAATGATGTAATTTCCAAGCTAGCTTTTTCACAATACCTACCAGCTTGATGACGTGTGATAATTAAGTTGGTTAAGTTAGTTATACTTTGTGTTTTTTGTGATGTATATATTTCTCCTTCTTGTATCGTACCATTTAGTTTTTATAATCAATGAAATGAAGAATGCTCTCTCTCTCTCTCTCTCTCTCTCTCTCTCTCTCTCTCTCTCTCTCTCTCTCTCTCTCATCAATTCTAACACTATTTGAGTTTACGAACTAGCCATATATGTAAAACAATTATGACATCGACAATAGGGTTTATTATATCTGAATAGTTTAATCATTCTTTATCCACGTGGGAAAAATAATACTCATTAACTTATTTGTTAATTTCTTTCAAACATCTCATCTCATGTTAAAATACAATTTCTCATTTATTTTAAATATGTTTTGAATGTATGATATATCAAAATGTAATCGGAAATATGAACATTTCAAATGATGTTATTGGTTATTAATGGGCACATTTTCCACTATCCATGTAAATCCGAAATGGATTTCCAACGTTTGTATATTATCCTACGACAACATGATTGTATATCAAAAGATCGTTTGTATAGTATACTACGACAATAGGACAATATGATTGTACATCAAAGTTTTTTAATAAGCTGATACCATGACATACATATTTATTTTTTAAAATTTTATTAACCAATTTCATTTTAATAAAAGACTAAAATTTAAATACCTAAAAAAAAAAAAAAAAAAAAAAAAAAACTTAGGAAACAAAAATAACATGAAATTTAAAAGCCTAAAATTTGAAATAAAATAAAATAATACCATAAAATGACATTAAAAAAACCTCTAAAAACTTAGAAAACAAAAATAACATGAAATTTAAAAGCCTTAAAAAAAACAAAAACAAAAACAAAAAAAAACAAACAAACAAACGTTTAAAAAAACTAATAGTTATAACGTTTCTTAAAGTCAGCTTTGACCGCCAAAGCAATGGCACGCTTCCTCGCTGCCATGTTACTTGTGTCTTGTATTAGTAATTTTCTTTGTGGAACATTTTGGTAACCCACCTCTAAAAATGGTCATGTTTTTTGTTTTTGCAAACTTTCGGATCCTCGGAAACATCGACCTATGCATGTACCAATGTCATTACTTCTACGGGTTCCCATGATTTGCACGTCATCTTCTCTTTTCTTTTATAAGGTGCTTTGGTGGGTTGTGTTTCTCGAACGAATTCAGGTTCGGAATCGGATTGGACTTGAGTTTCTCGAATGAATTCGAGTTGAGTTTCAGACGCAAAATCGAAGGGATTAAATTCGGTGTCGGATAGGACTTGTGTTTGTGGTTGTCGGTATTATTGTGGGTATTGTTGTTGTGGATATAGTTACGGATAATACAATAGCATACAAATATAGTAATAAACGGGGGCAAAATTTGGTCAATCAAAAGAAGTTGATGTGTTTCTTGTGGGTGTTTTTTGGTTGTTTGGATTGTTGTCGAAAGAAAACATTTTTAAAATTTTTGAGAGATAGAATATAAAGAGATAGAACAAGTTGTATCGAGGTGTGGTAGTTCGGGTGTTAAAGGTTTATTGATATGTAAAACATTTGAAATAAAAAAAAAACCGGTCACAAATATTGAAGAGAGAGAGAGAGAGAGGATTTAGCCCAACACGACTCGAACCATGCACCGTGCATAGTGTAGACCGCGGATAACATGGTGAACCACATCCGAAACCATGGCCACACCCTTTGGTCTTAGTCAATTACACAGTCAATAGGGTTAGTCTAAAAATAAATTTAAGAAACTATTACCGAAGGATCCGATAATTTACAAAATTGAAGCGTTTAACTAATAACTAATATTAAAATGTCATTTTAAAAATACATACACAAATTACAACCAAATCATCATAAAAGCCGCTATAATAATCTTTTATGAATACTTAGGCTATCGGGTACGGGCTCATTATCACCCCTTATTGCCCATGTGACAATGCCTTAACGGTGTGGTAACAGGAGGAACACCCCCCCTCCCACCCCCCATCCGTTATGTGATCTTCTGTTGTCATACCAATGAACTGCAACGCATTTCATTTTCTCGATTTGCCCTCCATTTGACCATTGAAAGGCCGGTTATATATATATATATATATATATATATATATATATATATATATATATATATATATATATATATATATATACACACACACACACTTCCCAATTAAAAACATATCTTCTACCTTATTTTTAATCACCTCTCTCTTTTCTTTCTCTACATTTTATAAAATCTCAATATTTCCCAATTAAAAAAATGGAACCGTTCGACCCATCCAACGATGATAATGACGACGATATCTTCATTGGTATGATATACGAGTATTGTACGAGCATGCTACTACAACCAGATTCAACTCAACTACTAACAAGACGTGCGATGTTAAACAGAAATCGCGAAGAAGGGCACAAATGTCTAGTTCACGATTATTTTGTGGATAATTGTGTCTACCAGGCAAGCGATTTCAAAAGAAGGTTTTGTTTGCGAAAAAAATGTGTTTGTATGGATAATTAACGCCTTAGAAAGCAGATATCGTTTCTTTCAAGTTTTGTAATTTATAAATGTAGATTTTAGGTAAATAAATACATTTTTTTACCTATTAAATATATGTTTAGGTATTAATTTTTCCAATTGAGAGATGATGCTAGAGGTAAGCGAGTATTCACATGTTTCACAGAGTTGACATGTTTTTTTAGGGTTGCAGGTTCCAACAACGACGTCAACGTTCTTGATCAGTCACCGATATGCGACGATCTTTTGTTAGCTCATTTCATAGTGAATGGATATGAATATAAGTTTTGATATTAACTTACGGATGAAATACATCCATCATATTCCACATTTGTGAAGGCGTTTCGACACCCAGTAGAACCAAGAGGTAAAATTTTCAAGAGAAGACAAGAATGAACACGTACGGATGTGGAACGTGTTTTGGGAGTTCTAAAGACGAAATGACACATAATTAAACATATCGCACGACCATATCAGTTAGAAACTCTGCGAGTTATTATATATGAATGTATCATAATACATAAATATGCCTTATTGCTCATTTTCAAAATGGAGCATATATACGACGTAGGGATGAGCATTAGAGTCGTCGGAACCGGAACCGGAATTGGTAATAAGGTCCGGTTACCGGTTCTCCATTTTTATGAAAAACCGGAACCGGTTTGACATTTTTCCTGTTTTTTAAAATACGCATAACTCACTCATATTAAGTCAGAATTATTTGATTTTTTTTCCAACATGTAATTTGGAGTTTGTAATTTATTTTGTACTGTACAAACATATGTTTTGGTTAGATATTGAACCAGACATATGCCTCGAAAGAAAGAATATCGATATTGTGTTTTTTCTATTTCAATATTTTTTTGTTTTTTTTTAATCTGTCCTATTTTTTTAAAGTCTGCATAACTCATTCATATGACGTCGGAATTACTTAATTTATTTTCCAGCATATAATTTGGTATTTGTACTTCATTTTAGACTATAAAAACACATATTTTGGTTAGATATTGAATCAGTTATAGACCCCGGAAGACAACATATCAATGTTGCGTATTTTCTGTTTCAGCTTTTTTTTTTGGAATATAGCCCGCTTTTAAAATACGCATAACTCACTCATATGAAGTCGGAATTACTTTATTCTTTTTTCATCATGTAATTTAGTATTTGTACTTCAGTTTAGAATGAAAAAAGTCATAATTTGGTTAAATATTGAATCATTTACAAGTTCCGGAAGATAACATATCATCTATAATATTTCAACCGGTTTTAGTTTGAAAAATAACCGAAAAACTAGGACCAGAACCGGCGCTAGAACCGGCGGTCCGGTTTCCGATTCTTATAATATAGGAAAACCGGTTCCGGTTCCAAACCGGTCCGGTTCTAAAGCTCATGCTTAATACAACGCATGCCTTATATAAGTCTGATTTGTAGACAAGGAACCATATCTTTGAATTTGAATAAATTGGCATCTTTAAAAATATAATAGTACGTTATAAGAAGACAATTGTTTTTTATACGAACCAATATAGAAAAATAATAATATATTTTTAAACTTTCATAAATATCAGATTATATATGGGGCTTTCTTTGAGGATTTTTGTAGTAGTAAATAGTAATAGTAAATAAATCTTATATTTTAACTTTCTTGTTAAAACAGTTTAGATCCAGAAAAAAAAAATCACTTAAAACATGATAATGATATTAAGACATAGAAACTAGACTATCTAAAAAAAAATACTAAGTACCATAGTTGACTTGAAAATTTCCCCTCATATTCATGGGGAGGTCACAGAAATACTCTCGTCATCCTAAGTATTTCCGAGAGAGAATAATGTATCTTTGGTGTATAATGAGAATGTGAGGGTATGCATGAATGGAAGTCTTGTTAAGTTTTTCATCTTGCTTATGGGGTTTTATACTTAAAGTCATTAGGACATAATTATAATAAATAGTATGATTGTCAATCAATATGGTTGATGGTCGCCTTCATACTTGATATAGGATGGAATTTACTATTTATAAAAAATAAATAAATAGATAAATAAATAATCTTTTAGCTATATTTGAGCAATCTTAATTAATTAGGCATACATGTACTCATACTCTCAAGGACACATTCAAATCCATTCATTAAATTGAAAACAATGTTACCCGAAAGATGTAAGATTGCTCAACTTATGTAAGTTCTAAAAATAACAAATTAAGAGTATATACTCATAGGATCCAAAAGTGGATAAGATTGACAGAAAAGGGCAGTTGTCCATGTTAACTGTTATCTTCTTTGGTATCAGAAGAACATCCAAAAAAAATAATGAACTTTTAAAAGAGTATGTATGGGTTTTTAAGGGCTAGATAGGTTCTTAATATCATCTTCTTGGGCATACCAAGTTGGTATGATTTTTGTCAAATGAGGATACAAATCCTTGTACGAGTTTCTGATTGTCCCTTCTGCAACTCCAGTTGCAAGTGCTACATCTGATGCATCCACAAAATTCCTTTTTTAGCAACTTTAACATCATAACTTACATTTAACTTTACCAACTATGTAAAGTCAAATGTTGCATTTTTATATATCTACCTTTAAGGGGCTTTTTCTCATCCGAAAGTTGAGTTACTATGTAAATAATAGCAGCAGCTATAGATATCGGGCTTCTCCTGAAAAACAAATTGTATAAATTTTGTAAGAATAACCCAAATGATTCAATATATTGGATATGAAACCAAAACAAAAAAATACCTTATATCAAACTCTTCTGCCTTCTTTACAGATTCTTGGGCAGCTTTAACAGTTTGATTGGTCATTCCAAGATTCGAACAGAATCGTCTCTAATGATTTGAAATACATATTGAAAGAACTCAAATTAATAAGAAATATCATGAGATATTTACAGGAAAAAAAAACTGACCATGAAATCGCCAGCATGAATAGTCCCCATTTCAACAGATTGACCCATCTCAAGCTCTAGTTGTTTGACAATATATTCTTTTGCCCGACCAATTTCTTTCTTTGAGGCTCCATTGGCAACCGAACATATTTCTATTTGAATAGAGTTCAAGGAAGAAATCTATTTCATATATTTCTATTCGAAGAGAGTTGAAGGAAATCTTGAGATTGAGAATACATAAATTAGAATAATCCAAATATAAATATAAATGATATCAAGGTTTCTTTCTACCCTTTACTGTTCGTGGTTTGTCTTCTTGACGACAAGCAATGTAAAGGCAAGCAGCCAAAATGGCATCCTGATTTCTCCCTCTACTTGACTTCTGATCTTCCACCTTTTTGTATATCTCATTAGCACGATCCTATAGTGTGTAAATACATAAACAAAATCAAAACTACACACCAAAAATGAGGGAAGAATTCAAAAGGATAAGGCAGTTTATATGACTGAAATACACAGTTGCATTTGCATACCTTTATTGTTGCAACAAGGCCCAACCTGAACCATAAATTAAGTCTATCAGATACAAACTGAAGTGAAAATTGTAGAAACAAGAATGATAATGTTCAATAGAACAGATTAAATTGATGCCCTGAAATTATTCATCTAAAAGAATCAAATGAAATGCAAGATGACTACTTCCTGTCGTTATCATCACAAGAAAGTAGAAACAACAATTCTCCTACTGCCCTACATATTCTCAATGATACCCCGCAAATTCAAAATCCACAAGTCACAATAACTCCTTACAATGTGCAAGTTTAACTATCACTTACAAAGCTTAACTAGAGGGAAAACACAGACACCATAGATGGCGAAATAGGGTTGCAATGCCTAAGCCTTCCAACTTACAGATCAATCAATTAAAAAAGCCATAGCCAATAAATCTACAACATTCCTTATCTCTAATTCACGGGGCAATATAAAGATGCAACGGTATTGCCATTCCTAGTTCCTTAGATTGAGAACATTCTTTACGAACAAGATGAAACCCTAAATCATCGAAATTCATACATCTTAGTAGACCAATGAATAGACAAAACGTTCACCTATCAGACATGGTCGCGATCGTTTTAAACGCCAAGATGAGCGTACGATCGGGATTAGAACCTCGGTTCTGCCACCGTCCCAACGAAGACGAAAGGAAATCGCTGGTGCCGCCGTTAGGTTTAGAAATCACGGTGGACAAACCACCGTCGTTGAGGAGGATATTGGTGGGACCGCCGACACGAACGGGATCGTTATCTCCGGACTCGTTGGCAAAGGTACGCCACTCGGAGGTCTCATCGATCGAGTGGGATTCAAGGACGAGTCCACACTCAGAACAAACGGTATCGCCGGCAGAATGATCAAACACCACCTCCGTGTTCCTCTTGCAGTCGCCGCAGTAGGCATCTGCCATAGTCTTCGGTTTAATTTGAGTGTTTCTTTGTTAGATTTTTTGCTATTGTAATCTGTCTCAAACTTGAATTACGTTAATGGAGTTTGTTTGTTGAATTGGTGCGCCCTGCGCCCTAATCGTCTTTTATTTTATTTTTATTTTTTACCTTTTTTTTTTTTTCCAGATGCCAAGAAATTGTATTCTTTTATGTGAACAAACGATTTTTAAATAGCGGTGGTTTGACAACAATGTCAAGTCTTAAAATTTTATGAGTTGAGTTATATGTTTATAATTCATGACTTAGGGAGGAGGGAGTCGTTCCCTCCCAACCCACCGAACTCACTGTCACATCAATTTTTCTCTTTTATTTTTCTTCATCTTTCCGAACCCACAACACACGGAAATCATATCTTTTTGAACCCACTCAATTAAAAAAAATACAAAACAACTAAGGTACAAATTTTAAAACACATGATACAAGAGAAAATAAGAAATAGAAAGTAGAGAGAGATGATGAAGTGGGTTAGTGAAACCAATCAACCCACTCGTTGAAGCGAGAGTGGTACTGCCGATAACTCTATTGCTAATTAAGATTTTACATTTGATTGTTTTGTATTTTTTTTTAATTGAGTGGGTTGAGTGAGTTCAAAAAGATATGATTTCCGTGTGTTGTGGGTTCGGAAAGATGAAGAAAAACAAAAGATAAAAAGTGATGTGACAGTGGGTTCAGTGGGTTGGGAGGGAATGACTCTCTCCTCCCTTATAACGACAATTTAGTATGTAATGAAGGATTAATGTCATTTTAACCTAACGGACTTCTCATTTATTTTAAAAGGTCACTCAAGTTTTTTTTTTTACTCTAGGGGAATAAACTCGTTTTTTACCTGTTCATTTAGTCCTTATACCGGCTATAGAAAGTTAAAAAGTTACGTGTGATAAGAGTTGTTGATGTGGACAAACACCTCACCAACTTCGTTTTTTACCTATTCATTTCATCATCATTAATACTCTTCCATTTCTTCGATTCTATTTCTTGTTGCACAGACCGTCTCTCTCCCAAACATACTTTTGTTTTTTCTTCTTGCAGTGTTGTATGGAGATGATGTCGGCCTAACTTCAAATGGTCATAACTTTTTCATATGAAGTCAGATTTAGGCGTTTTTTATATGTATGGAATCACCATCATGACTACTACCACTTTTGTTTAGATTATTTGTCCCAATTAATCTATTATTTTTTACGCTTATTTTAGTCCTATTTTTTAACTTTTAAAAATACTTTTTATACAAGCATTATGTACACATAACACACACACACACACACATATATATATATATATATATATATATATATATATATATATATATATATATATATATATATATATACAAACATACACACACACACACAAATCACATATATTCAAGTAAGTAACTTTTGTTTATTCATAAAAGATTACAATTGTTGACCAACGTAAATATATATTATGCCTAGCGAGAAACGTAGGTGTTACAATTATCTCCCCCTTCGGATGATTCCGTCCAGGAATCATACATCAGCAAATAGATGTGGATAACGACTCCTCATGTCACTTTCTGTGTCCCAGGTGAGGTTCGGCCCTGACGTATGTTTCCATCACACGAGCACTATTACCACCATCCTACGTCATAACTTCTTCGTTTTTCGGTCAACAATCGCTTCAGGTTCTTCAATCAACCTCTTGTTCTCATCAATCCTTAACTCCAAAAATGCAATCATATCAAGAACTTATCCTGTGAAGTTCCTCAAGTGAAAAACATGAAAGGTGTTATGAATACCTTCTCGTTCCTCTGGAAACTCTAACTTGTAAGCTTGGTTTCCAATTCTTTGAAGTACTTTGAACGGTCCAATGAACCTTGGACTCAGCTTCCCTCCATTTCCAAATCTGATAAGTCCCTTCCATGGAGAGACTTTAAGCAACACTTGATCTTCGAATTCGAAAGTAATTCGTTGTCGCTTCTTATCTGCATAGCTCTTTTGACGATTTTGAGCTGCTAGCATCCGTTCATTGATTACTTTCAATTTCTAGGTGGTCTTTTGGAATACCTTCAACCCTTGCCCAAACGTTTTTCCTTTCGGTTATTTCCTTCAAAATCATCATTTTGAGCTTTCTTGATACTTTCCATAATCGTTGAGACGATTTCAATTCTTAATGCCCTTGGCCTTTTCCTCTCCATGTTTATTTTTCTACTCAAAGCGTCTGCTACGAAATTCGCTTTACCATGGTGGTAAAGTATCTCACAGTCATAATCCTTGAGTAATTCTAGCCAGCTTCTTTGTCTCATGTTCTACTCTTTTTTTTATCAAAGAGATACTGACGACTCTTATGATATGTGAAAAGCTTACACTTCGTACCATAAAGATAATGTCTCCATATCTTTAGTGTAAAAATGACCGCGACCAACCCTAAATCATGAGTGGGATGATTTTGTTCGTAGATTTTCAGTTGTCGGGATGCATATGCTATCATGTTATCTCTCTGGGTCAAAACACAACCTAACCCAACTACAAATGCGTCATTGTAAACTGTGAAGTCTTCGACTCCATCGGGTAAATCAAGAATCGACGCTTCACGCAATCGCTTCTTCAATTTCTCAAAATCTTCTTCATGGTTCTCGCTTCATGTATAGGTAGACCCTTTTTGGGTCAAAGTTGTCAATGGAGAAACTATTGAAGAAAAGCCTTGGATAAACCTTCGGTAATATCCAGCTAATCCCGGAAAACTATGAATCTCAGTGGGACTTGTTGGTCGTTCCCACTTCATTACTGCTTCAGTTTTTTGATGGATCAACCATTATACCTTCTTGGTCAACCACATGACCTAAGAATTGAACCTCTCATATCCAAAAATCACATTTCGAGAACTTTTCATACAACTTCTACTTCTTCAGAACTTCCAATACTTATCTCAAGTGCTTTCCATGCTCCTGTTGGCTCTTCGAGTAAATCAGAATATCGTCGATGAAAACTATTACAGATCTATCGAGGAAAGGTTTACAAACTCGATTCATCATATCCATAAATTATGTTGGAGTATTGGTTAGCCCAAATGGCAAATCCAAAAACTCGTAGTGTGTATATCTCGTTCTAAAAGCTGTCTTCTCGACATCTCGCTCTCTCACCTTCAGCCGATGATACCCATACTTGAGATCAATCTTCGACAAGTATCTTGTGCCTTGCAGTTGATCGAACATGTCATCTATCCTAGGAAATGGGTATTTATTCTTCACTGTTGCTTTATTGAACTCCTTGTATTCGATGCACATTCTCATGCTTCCATCATTCTTCTTCACGAATAACACTGGAGCTCCCCAGGGTGATGAACTAGGTCTAATGAAACCTTTTTCCTTCAACTCCTGAAGCTGCTTCATGAGTTATAATTTGGTTAAATATAAAGATATTAGGTACTTATAAGTATAATTTCTATCTTGTAGCCAAATAAAGACATTTTCGAAGAGAATGGCTGAAACTGAACAAATCTAGAAACTTGGAGGTTAGATTTTTCATGAAGAAGGAAAGCAAGGAGAAGATTGTGTTTTATGAGGACTCCACGACGTGTTTAACTTTGGCCCACGTCGTGGTTATAAGGAAGTTTCTCGATTGATTTGAAGACTTGCTACCTATGCGTTTTAAATGGATTCCACAACGTGGAGGGCATAATTAGGAAAGTATAAATCCCGATTTTCAGGTAATAATTAGGGATGCATGCATTGAGATCTTTTGAGATTTTCGACATAAAGCAACCATGGAACCCTTGGAGACCATAATTCGTTAGAAGGAAGAGCTTAAAGGAGATTAGAGTAAAGATCTACATAAATCATTCGGTTTGCATAGTGATAATCATGTTTAATTTGTCTTACTTTGTGACTATGTGTTCTTTTTTTGTAATTATGGGCTAATGTCCTTTTGCTTTCGTTTAGACTAGATGGACCCTAATACTATGTGTTGATTTCTATATTTATGGATTATTGAAGTTGGATTTAGCATATGTTTGATAGATCGTCTTAGCATGTTAAAAGCTCTTATCTTTATTACTTTGTCCTCAAGTTTTGTGTAGTTAAGTGGTCATTGATTGCTTGAACTTGTTTGTCCTAGCTTTTTATGATCATTAAACTGCTAGAGGTTGAGGTTGATCATACCGTAGTATAGGTGGAAATGTTAGTTGCTTAACTATGTTAAAGAGCATTATCTGATCATAATAATTGTCTGATTGTCTAATCTTGATCATGGATAGATAATTCTTAGATTTATTCGTTCATAGCCCAAATAGATCTTAAAATCAATTAATGTTCGTAATTTGGATGATCATTGTGGTTGAGGTTCATAAATTGATATATGCCAGTTAGCCTGATCATGATAATTAGTGACTTTTAATTTGGTATCCAACTGATATTAATCCATAATTCGAAATTGAGCATAGGAAAAGGGGGGATTTGAAGCTAAACGGAAGTACCTTTTAACTCTTGATCAAATCTCGTTTTGTAGTTGTTTGCTTTAGTTTGAAGTATTTAGTTATTTAATTTAAGCTTTTATGAACTTGAAAAATCAGATAAAACTCCCTTAAAGTTTGTTTATTTTAGTTTAATTATTAGCATTATTTTCTTAATTAGAATTACGTTCCCTGTGTTCGACTCTTACTTATTCTACTTTACTACTACACGACTAGGTACACTGTCTATTGTGTTTTAGCTGAGTTGAACAAATAGGATATACATTTAAAGCTTTTAAGTGATTATATATAAAATACATCAAGTTTTTGGAGTCGTTTCCAGGGAACGGTTGTTTTAGTTGAATTTTAATTGCTATTACTTAATCGATCCTTTTTAGGGGTTAAATCCACAAAAAGTTAGTTTTCCAATCATTTTAAATTTTCTAGAATTACATTTTCCACGGCGTGGCCATTAGGATTGCCACGACTTGGAACTTGAGGTTTCATATTTTCGGTTATTACGGTTTTATTTCATTTTACACGTTTTTCCTTGTTTTTGTTTTAGTAGTACATGACCAGGGGATCATCCTTTCAAATCGTGCCACCCTTCGACGATCCAGAATCCGAATTCCACAAGAAACAGTACAAAAAGAAA